TAGGGCAAACACATATGGTAAGAGTACAAATGAAGCAGCAGAAACATTCATATGATGTAAATGACATCAGTTGAGAGGTTTCTAAATAGTTTTATAAGCTGCTGATTGAAAAGAACTAATTTCAAGTCAAAAGTCAAAATATCGTACTATAAAGATATTCTCCCCATGTGGAATGCTGTTATTTTACACACATTAAAAGAGGTGAGATCATGTGATGGGCATACCAGGATTAGATTCCCTCTTGACAACCCCCTCCCCACACACACACAATTTCTTTGTTTTCTCATTGCCTTCATCTGTATGTGTATATGATTTATCTGAGATGGCAGGCATGTGGAATAAGTTAGGCTCTTCTTGTCCTTCTCCACAAAGAGGCTGTAAGAGTTTGATCCTCCTGAACTGGCTAAGATGGCCGCTCTGGTGGAGCAATCATTGAAAGAGCAGACATGGCTTGTGAAAATTGAGATGCTAACAGAGAGTTCCTGAATTGCTCGAATAGCTGAAGATGTATGCGCACAAATGGCAGCTAGTCAGCAATTGATCTCAAAACTGGAGCTCGAATGGAGTTGGACATTCTGGAATACAAGATAATCAAGCTGGACACTTGTTTGCAGTGAAATAGCTGGCCAGGGGGAAACTGACCATGACCATCCAGTCAGACTCTTGAAAAAAAAAACATTTGAGCTGCAGCTTGCTGGAGCTCAGCTGTGATGCCTCTCAATCTGAGACTGTTCACCCTCCGGGACCTCAAAGCACAGCTCCTAACACGCATCTACAATTAAAAAATCATTTTAAACACAGTCACTGCTTTATTTCATTGACTCCTCGATTACATTTCCATGAATGAATAAAATACTTACCCACACCGTGTGTTAAATCCTTAAAAATCGACTTGAGGCCTAAAAATCATTAGGACATGCACACTTGTCCCCTTTTCAAACCAAAAATGGTATATATTGTAATAGTGATTAAGTGTGTATTTTTTTACAAGATGTGTTCTTCTGCTATTTGATGTGTTGGGAATTTTTCTATTTGTTTGTAAAAGTGGAATTTATTTTGATTTCTTACTAGGTAAGATTTTCTTTTCTCTGATTTGTTTTACTACTGTACGGGAGGAATGCCTTGTTATCTAGACTCAGTTTCTTGGCCATATCATACAGACTCAAGAAAGGAAGAGAATTGAGAGGGCTGGTGAAATGATGCCCCCTCTTTTTTTAGTATTTTTTGTGGGTAAAGGCTGCAATGATTCTGCTGCTCGGCACTGTGCTGGTGACAGTGATACTTTGTCATGAAGTCAGACTGAGCATTTAATATCTGTTGCTTTTATTTGGTCTCTCCATTCTCACTTAGCAGCTGCTGTTTGTACTTTATGTATTTATACCTCTTTGACATCGGAGTAGGTCTTTTATACACATGACTGATGTTTCTATTTTATCCTGAAACGTATGCATGCTACATTGATCTGCCAAATGGGCTATCCATCTAGATTTGTTACGATGGAGAAAAACAGACATTGCAATGATATAAGAGTCCCATTTGAAAACAAGATGTTTCAGTATTGCATAATAATTACTGTATGTCTGCAGAAACCAATGCAAAGGTGTCTTGATTGTATTGCATGGAGTATTCCTGTCTCTATATTGGGATTGGGGTGAGAAAGTGATGATATGAATGCTGATAAAACCCATGTACTGGACAGATCGAAACTGAAGTAGGTGAGTGCCAGGTCTCTGGCATCTACAACACTGAGAAATCATATGTGCGATCAGGGTAACACCATTTACTAGGTGTTATCCTTATATAACACACAACTGCTTTCATTTAATGAATTGGAAATCATGTTGCCTTTTTTTAAACATTAACTCCTTTTTTTTAATACTACTGCAATGGAAAGTGGCATAAATAAACATGATTTCTTTCTTTAGACACGCTATTGAATTTTTTTCAGCCAGAAGTCAAGCCTGAACTACTATTTTAATGGGACTCAGTACAGATAAATATGAACATTTTATCAGTTCTTTACTAAATTACTGTATATAGTTTATGATCCAGAAAAAATGGATGAGGCTTGTCCAGTTTCTTCAATCAACATATTTCCCACGATGAGAGGACAGACCCCATTGTATATCCCTGTTTGAGGTAAAGGAGGCAGTTAAAGTTAATTTCCTGACATTGTTAGCATACTTAAAAGCTTAAAAGCTTGTAACAGTACAAACTGTACTGCCATGCAGAGAGGTTCTGTTCAGAGGCGTGTTAGTGCTGCCATTATACTGTAACTCTTCTCCTGAGAAAGAAAAACATTTCACATATTGTGCAAGCCATCACCCCTGTGTCTTGGATTAAATCGGTGTGGAAACTTGGAAGAATATACTACCAATGCTGTGGGTTTGGGATAGGAGATGCTGTTGTGTTGTACTGTTCTGTTTTTGCAATATGTAAATTAAAAATGGTTCACAAAAAATAAATTCAAGGGTTATAGCATTGTAATCATTAAGTTCTCTATAGCGAAGTAAATTGACCTAGTGCAATGGAATGGCCAAGGGTTTTATTAATATAATGGGTTCCATGAAATCTTGAAAAAACAACAGTGACAACAGCAGGAAATTTTATTGGGTCTACTGTGTACTGTGTACTGTATAAAAGAAAAAAATGATGTCAAGGAATGAGAAATTCCAGCCACACTGTTAGCTGGAAATAATCTTCATTAACTGTCTACATAGGGATGACTCACACTGGTTTTATTGTGCCAGTTTTATCCCTTATAGGAAATTGAAGGTCTGTGGGTTTTAAGAGATTTTTTGTGCAATAGGTCTGTTGCCCTTATTCAATTTAAAATGATCTTGAAGTGCTAAAAAATAGTTTCAAGTGCTTTCTCTAATACATTTATAAAAATAAATGGGAAATTGGATGTATTAAAACAAAATGCTGTTACAGATAAACTGTATAGACACATTTAGAGATGCGTGGCCCATAGACAGATTTAAGATATAAGAATAATGAAAACGATTAGAATCCTGAATGGTATTTTTAGAATATCTGTCTTGGTTATGAACAAATCTTCAGAGTTTGCATACTATACATAGGTTTTAAACCAACTGTTTGAACAAGGTTGTATATAATTGTAATTTATTTGTATGTGTTCTTAAAATGCCCATCAAGATGTGGTTGTAATGATTTATATGGTATTATAGCCAACGGGTAGTCAGTTGGCTACCTGGCTATTTAAGGTGAAGCTAAAAATGAGCTTTACTGTTGAAAATTTCACTAAACCTTTTCATAGTGTGGTGAAAAGGAATTAAGACTGATACACAAGGAGAAACACAGTGGAATCTCAAATTCTAGATAGTTGTCCTAGATGAGCAATAATACCATTATTAAACTAGACATAGATCACCTTAATATCTTTTAACTAAACTAATCCTCCAGCCATGGGTTCTCAAACCCAGAATGATGGAGCTGGTGAAAGTAAATGTCAGTACCTCATTGACTGCAACGGCAGATGTATCAGCAACAGACTGAGACCAACAGTCATCCTAGACTCCATAGGAACAAAATCCCATTCCGTCAAGAACAATTTGAAAGCTAGGGATAACAAAAGATGAGCGCATTTGTCTTCTCTTCTAACACTGTCACAAAGCCATCCAATTATCAGTTATTAATGATGGGAGCACAAGAATGAACTCTGAGAGCTTCTGGTCATGAACTTCGTTGAAGGCAAGAAGGTCATCAGCTACCAGGAAGAGACAATAATGTTTTTCGGCAGCTGTAATTACAACTGAGAAGCCCTCTTCTGTATCCACTCTGCTCACGCACAGGCTAAAAAAAGTGTCCTAAACATAGTCTCTCTATCCTTTTTCTCGTCTTTACTATGTCTGAAAACCCACAAAGTGCTGTACTGCAATCATGTCCTTCTAAATCAGGTGATATGACATATGATGTTGCTTCCCTCAGGGAAATAGAATATGTTTTTGCCATCATCCAAAATGAGCTTATAAACCAACTTAATGATTTTCTTACTGGAATCAATGAATGCCTTATGACTATTCTTCCCATACTGGTGGGAGTCAATATTCCACTGTAATTGTTGCATACACTCTTGACACCAATGGTATCCTCCTCCTAAGTAAGAATGGGGAACATTCCTGTTAAAGAAAACGTCACACTGACCATCTCACTGGCTTTTCCCGTCTTTGTTCGTGCCCAGAGTCTCAAAGATGGCCACTTCATTCCAGAATTGGGTTGCAGCTGGTTTAGAAGTCAGAAACCTGCTGCAAATTAATCTATGTTGTTGGGTGACATACTGAATGAAACCTGCTCAGAAATACTGTCTTAAAATGGTTTTTAAGAAGTGTTTTTCAGGGGTCTTCGCCTCCAAGCTTTTTATTACTTTTTAATTCTGGATGCTCCTGAAAGAAACCACTTATAAAATTGATGCAAATGTGATGCCATCCCTGCTATGGTGAAGCTCTCACACACCTTGCATATTCTTGGATCCACCTCTTTTCAGTAGCTGCTGGCATCTCTAAGGCTGCATTTTATCGTGCAGTACTGGCTGTGCTTAATACTTTATTGATACAAACACACAAATACATTTTTTCCCCTAAGAGCAGGTCTGACCTACAAGCATTGGAAATAAATTTCTTTGGCATTTTTGATTTGTTGACTGCACACATGCTGTTAAAGCCCCCAGACGATTTTGAGTACAGAACCATTTTTAAAGTTGTGGACAACCCCAATCATTTTTAATGTGCTTTTGTTGTTGTCCTACTGTCTTTGTGGCATAAGGAAGTCACAGTAAGAGCTGTGATGTCCTAATGTCATTCTATGATTGTGATTTTCTAGTTCTGTACATTATGTTGGTAAAAAGATAGAACTAAGCTGAGAGGAAATGTTTTAGTCAGTGGGGTATACAGTCAGTACAGGAATGCAGAGGAGAGACTGAATTTAGGATTAGCCTCTTTCCTCAGATAACTTCATTCCTCCCTTTGTTTTCCTGACAGGTCATTCAAGCAGTTTTCTTCGGGGTGTGTGTACTGACTGATCTCTCCAGCCTGTTGATGAAAGGTAGTGAGAGTCAAGAGCAGGAGAGACAACTGAAGAAGCTCATCAGTCTGCGGGACTGGATGATGGCAGTCCTAGCTTTTCCTGTTGGAGTGGTAAGTGTTTTTGAACTGCAGATAGAAGGACAGATAAGTATTTAACGCTGCTATGGGTTCAGGACATGAGCAGCATTGGAATATACTGTAAAGGTTATGGCAGTGTCAGCTTGATAATGCTACTTTTAAATATGTTTTTAATGAACTGCAAAGTTTATTACTGTGATAATTGCCTCTTTAAATGTTTTAAACCATTAGTTTTCACTTAATGTAAAAGAACCCCATTAATAATTTGGTAATTGCAAAATGTGTTAGGTTACATTTCATTAGGCTTTGTTATTTTCTTTTCACACTTTGTTTTTTCTACCTGTCACTGTTACTGAGAAAATAAAAACAAATCTGTTTTCACTATATTTTATACAGTACGCTGTATTGGTCATGGGGTACTTTCAACTCTATGGGTTCCATGTTCAATTAAAAAATCTTCATTTATTGCATATAGGTCTTTTCCAGATGCTCCAGTTAACTGCCACAGTCCAATGTCAATGGACTTTTCCCACAGTCCAATGTTTTTTCAGGTTAATTAGTGTCTCTAAATTGTCCTGCATATACTCTTGTGTGTGCCCCGTGGCGGACTGATGTAGTCCCACCTTGTTCCCTGCAAGTGAAATCGATCAAATTTGCCTGTGCATTTAAATTATTAAGGAAATGATGTTCATATAGCAGCAAAACAACACCCACAAAAGCATGCTACTCTAATCTGCCTGAAAGAAACATTCATAAACAGTCAAAGTGCTGATGACATATAATACTGCTTACATTTCTGAATCAGACTTGTTATAAGCTTTTAGCTTGTTCCATTTAGCCTTTATACTGCAAGCAAACTGCAAGCTAGTACTTAATTAGACCAGGGGCTCCCAGTCCTGATCCTAGAGGACCACACACCAGCTGCGTTTCGTTCCAGCCAAGTTCTCAGTTACACAATTGAACCCTACATTGACTTAATAATAGGATTAATTTGAAATGGTTGACTGTTTTCAGCTCTTAGAAGTGTTGGAGGTTGCCTTTTATCTATCACATTTTCTAAGAATGAAATAAATGAAATCACAACACTTGAGCAGAAAAAACACTTTTGAATATTCTAAACAAGCTACAGTTAGATCAATGAAGGCATCAGTGATGTACTTACGCTCAGCTGGAATAAAAAGAAGCAGGTGCCTGGACCTCCAGGACCAGAACTGGGAACCCTTGCATTAAGCTACTTGAAATGCATAGAAATGTTTCATTAATGAGTGATAGAATACAAATGCACTTTATATACCGAGTTTATACGGTATACTGTACTGTACCTCATATACTGAAAATATAGGAATTAAACACTGGGAGTATCTCCCATTGTAAATAAAGAATAACAATCTAGGCCTGTAAACCAGTGCCTTCATCCATCCATTCATTTTCACAGTTCAGAGGCAGGATACATCCTGGACAGGACGCCAGTCCATCACAGTGCGCACACAGACACAAACATGCACACACTCAAACCAGGGCCAATTTTACAGATGCCAATTCACCTACCAGCATGTCTTTGGACTGTGGGAGGAAAATGGAGCACCCTGAGGAAACCCACACAAACACAGGGAGAACATACAAGCTCCACACAGATAGCACCCCAGGAATTGAATCCCTGTGCTGGTGCAATGAGGCAGCAATGCTAACCACTGCACTGCACTGTGTCTCCCTCAGCAACTTCATATGAAATAAATTTGTGCTGAGTTTTAATCTATACCATTATATTGTAGTGTCAGTGGCTCCTTTTATTTTAAGGTGCACACTCTGTGGATTCCTGTCTTACATCAATTCATAGATAATATTAATAAAGTAATATATAGTTTAGCAGAGCTGAGTGGGAAACTTAGTAATTTCAGTCACAGACAAATCACAATTATTAACTGTTATAATATGTGAAAAAGCAATGTTGGTGCCTTCTTTCAGTGCATCTTCTTTGAGAAAAAAAGGCTAATTTATTGAAAATATAGAATGAAAATAAGTGCATGTCTAGCACAAAACAGCTTTCTAATGAATTTACTAAAGAAATCACACTGACTCAAAGTATGTTGAAAAGGAAATGAACAAATCAAAATCCAGCTATCCTACCGATGCCTTGTCTGGAGCCAAGCAACTGGTCTGTACTGGAACCGGAAATCTCCAAGAAATGCTAGGTTGCTGCTTTAAGTAGTGTAGGTAGAGCAATAGGTACAGTCGCACTCATTCCTCTGGAGCGAGGACACCATACTGCAGAAATCAGATGAGACGTGTAAACTGAGGTCTTGACTTCTTGGTTGTTAATGATCCCATGATGTCATTTGAGTAAGGGTGTTAACCCTGGCATTCTTCAGAAATTCCGCAATCTGGCCTACTGTACATTCAGTTCTGCCTTAATTCAGTGGATGAAGACCTGATCTATTGTGCATTGCAGCTGCTGGCACATACTGTACTATGTCTCAATTGGCACATGCTGTATCTTAACTAGGTGGGAAGTCATGGATGAATTATTATTATTATTATTATTATTATTATTATTATTATTATTAAATGAGTAGCTCAAACTGAGTACCCTAACAGTGACAAGCACAATCACTTGTCAGACCTGACTTCAAGCTGAGATCAATAATGTGCACAAAAGGCTCTTCAATTCTTAACACACAATGACTGCGTTCTAACTGTGCAAGTTGATAGAGTTTGCATAAGGTGAGCAGAGACAGTAATATGCATTGTGTGAGTTATGACATGGATTTGTTTTGCAAATTGCAAATCATCTATCTGTCCTGGGTGTCATGCTATTGCATCATACTGAAAAACAGGCACAGGAGATTTTCCGCTGAAAAAGGAAGTGTTTAATGTCTGCTGGCTTTCATACAGTATGTGTTGCGTTCGTGATCACCATCTGATAATTACTCGGAAAATATTTTAATTGGACTTGGTACTCTTTTTTCCTTTTGTTCAGAGATGTTTAAATTGTATATAAAGTGATGGCAACAGGCCAAGATGCCAGAATTGAAAGGGATTCAAGCTGTGTCTTGTATTTATAAGGTACAGGGAAAATATTTGTCTTGCTTCATTAAGGTATAGAGAACAAATTTTTCCTGGAAGTCAGCCGAATACAGATTATGCTCTTCCATGTTTACAGATTTATTTACTTTAAATGTAGTGTATTTCTGAATCATCACTTACTTTCTGCAGGACCTGAATTAAAGCTTTTTGGCTTCTTTTATGAAGAAAAACCTTCCTGTTTTTTTTTCGCTTCCTAATTAGTAATACTGGAGTCAGACTTCACTCCACTTGCTAAACACATGTGCAGGTACAGTAGAACTGAAGAACTGGAAATTGATATATGGCTTTCAGCATCACCACATTACAAGGCATCCCATACCAGTGGACCAGTGTAGGTTGTTTTGTTTTAAAATAACTGATCTTTATACCCATGATCTATACTAAGGATAAATATAACTCTATGCATGTATGTGTTTTTTTTTTAATTGATTTTGTGTATTGTCTAAATGTGTTGAGCATCATTATGATTGTTTAATCATTCTTAACCGACTATAATGTACTCAAGGGACTTGTCTGTTGTATATGCACCAAATACCTCTTTAGTAAGAGAGTTGATTGGGCACACGTGATGAGGTGATTTACTGTAACCTGCTGGATGTCAAGTGGGAGAAAAACTAAGAAGGAAAACACAAAAGGAACCAGTATAACCTGCTTATCAAGAGAACTTCACCTTTGTACCATCAATATGTTGGAGAAATACATCAGGTGGACTCACCAGCAGTGAATCAATGTTTTTGTAGACTACCCCAACGAATTACAGCAAGTGTGGCAGAACAATATATTACTTGTTGTGTGCAGCAGACCGATCAATGGGGGGAGGTCGAAGTTTGATGGTCGGGGCAGGCATTGTCTAGTTACTACAGAATACTGCTTGCACTGATTGACAGCAATCTGACTGCGAGGAGCTACATTGATCAAGTTCCGTGTCCTCAAGTACTGCCCTTCATGTGGGCTTGTCCTTATATAACAGTGCACATCCAATACAGCTAACGAAGACTTTCTTGCAAGATGAGAACGTGACAGTTCTTTAATGGATGCCCTACTCACCAGACCTGAGTCCCGTGGAACATCTGTATGATGAGCCAGGATCACATATGGCCTCTGTTACTCAGAAACCAGTGAATAGGCACAGGCTTGTCCAGGCTCTTTGAAATGTACGGGTCAGAATCCCACAACGAAAAGGCATTTGGAAACTTGGTTCAAAGCATGTGTAACAGGGCTCGGTGCACTGAGCAAGTTACAGAAGTAAAATCACTCCCTCTGAAATCTAGACAGTGTAGAACTCTACTGCAGCAGAGCACAGGTTTTTAGCAACAGTGATCCACCGTCTAGGATGTGTCGCTATCTGTCCTCAGAGCCCACAGTCAACGAGGAACAAATCTGGGGGACAGGGAGAGCTGCCCTCATCACAGGTGCATTGCAGGTGTACAGCTTACAGCTGTGGCCACATGTGCTGGTGGCCTGTGTCTTTCACAGTAGACTCCTTGTTGATCGATGCTTTTGATGCTATACTGTACCTTTCATCCATTCTTTTTCTAACTGCTTTATCCAACACAGGGTCATGGGGGAGCTGGAGCCTATCCCAGTAATCCACATAATTAATATAGCTGAATCATGTGTATTAAATAAAATATCAGTGTACCGACTTCAAAAAATGTCATTTTCCTCATATCTTTGTGAATGTATTCCAGATATGTGAGAAGTTACTTTTGTTTTTCCATATACTGTAAATTCCAGTATAGTTAGGAGTTTAGTCAACTTCATGGATTACACAAAAGCAGGAGGATAAGAAAAGACTGTTTAAAATTCAAAACAAATTCCGAAAGATTTAGACAGAATTCAGCACTTGGCAAACACATGTAAGAAGACATTAAATGTGGACAAATGTAGAGTTTTACATGTACAGGTGGGTAGAAAAAGTCTTGGGTAGTCCAAACAAGCACTAAACTATGAAAAAGACCTAGGGCTTCATATTCGCACATCATTTTCATCTTCTAGACAATGTGGAGAAGCAATCAAAAGGCAAATGGAATGTTAAATCATACAGTTAAAAGCATAGAATTTAGATAAAGAGATGGTATGTTAAAAGTTTACAAACCACTAGTAAGACCTTATTTAGAATATTGTGTTCAATTCCGGTCACTAGCTACGATACAAAAAAGTTATTGTTTCTCTTCAATATCAGTTCATGGAAGTGTAACCGGGTACATTTTCAGGTCCTGTTTCTACGTTAAAAAAATATTTTTAGACTTCAACAGGGACAACTCTAAGGTGACACCTTTCAAATATTCAAGATCTTCCAAGTTACTTACAGGCCTAAGCCTATGAAAACACAGTAAAACACAAATAAAAGAACTAAAAACTAAGTGGTTTTAAAACTTAGATCAGGAGGCACATTTTTACACAAAGGCCTATTGGTTCCTATTGTAATCTACCAAACCATGTTGTTGAAGCTGATCCCATCTTTTCTTTTAAGAAACAGAGGGATGAGGTCTTTGGATTAATTAGCTACTACAAATCAAATGAAGTAAATGTGCCAAATGTGTCCTGCAGTGTTTATAAATGATCGGGCTGCTAAAGAAGATTGAAGGCCATGAGACAACAGACAGCAAAGGTGTTAAAGGAACCAAACTAAGTTAGTACAGTATGTCCCCTGTTTCGATTTAGTTTCTGCACTGAATATGCAAACATACAGCACTGGGATGAATGAGTAAAGTGTTTGGGAGGAAGCATTAAAACAAATACACCACAACTCCTGGGAAGGTGATGAACATTTCCAAGAATCTGAACTTGATTTCAATTTATCAAAAAATAAGGCAATGTTAATGCTACAAAAACTAATTCTAATTAAGCAGATTGTCAGCAGTAAGACAGTTACTCTTGACATCAAAGCTTTAGCAGCTGTGTAGCTAGATATATTCTGTGGTTTTATCCACTGTGTTTTAGATATTTCCCGTTCTTCAAATCTTTTAACTGCATGTTTTGTCTTCTCAATCATGATTTTATGTCTGTCTTCTACTGAAATTGTATCCATTTTGTTTTATGTGAACAGTTAATTCTGATACATCTGTAAAAGCAGCCTTTTAGCTTTATTAATGTGTAGAGAGGACAAACAATGGAAACAATTAGGCACACCTTACATTGAGCCAATAAGATTTGGTAAGTGTTACGAGCTAAACGAGCTGAACTGTATTAATTACAGTCAAAAGTTTGACAATAAATGAAAACACTAGTGGAGGTTTTTAGCTAACTGTAGATACTCAATGGTTGCATGTATTTTAATTCCTGGTGTCTCATAAGGACCTTAAGAATGGTTACAAACTAGAGACAGACATTCTGTGTACTGTATCTATCCCACTTCCTATTTACTAGGAGTGAAGATGCAGTGTGCCGGGGATTGGTTCATGTTGATACAACTCGAGAAAGTGAAGCAAAACTAGAATCTTTTATATCCATAAACCAGGGCTATTGATGCAAATAAGTTTTTAGAAGAGCAGAGGGCAGTTTGAAATGCCAGGATCAAAGAGATTGTTGGGCTGAGATGGAATTCCACTGAAGATGCAGCCTAGCAAAGCAGGAATTTTAAATACCCATTTCAAAGCCTGTATACTCAATAGTACCGTACTTTTTTCAGTGTGTTTGATCTTTTCTTAAGCTTGCTGCTGTCCTTCTTACAGAAGGCATATTTTGCTTGAAGTAACAGCTAAAAAAAAGAGAACTCAGCTCTAAGGGATTAATTACGGTATGCTGATAAGAAAACATCAGCCCTGGAACTGTCTGTTCCTCTTGCTTGTGGCTGATTTTAGCAATCAGTGTCTTTATTATAAAGCACTGAGCCTTCAACAAATGTATTTAAATATTTAATATTTAAGAAGCATTAACTCAATCAAACATATTTTAGACAGTGTGGGTAATGCACAGGTCAGTGTATGACACTTAGTTTACAATGTGAATCGCCAACTCCAGATACAGAATGAAAAATGAGAACAGAAGAAAAAGATTGGACTTAATTTAAGAGGCAAAGGAACAAGTAATAGGTTTATTTCATGCAGAAAAGAGAAGGAAGAAAACACAATGTTTTGGCCATGGAGTCTTCTTCAGGTGTGAGAAAAACAGGGCCGTAAGCAAAGGTAATGTAGCGGGAGAACAAAGGCTAGGAGCGAGGAGGAGCGAGAGGCGGGAGCAGGGGACAGAAAGAGAGGCCAATCAAGAGGTGTGAAGTCAGAATAGGTGTTGAGAGGTGTGAAATGAAACCTCCAATGAATGGAGAAAATTAAGAAGAAAAGTAGTCTGTCGTTAAGAAAGGGGGAAGGTGTGATCCTAGCTGCAGGATAATTTTGGTTTCTGTAGTCTTTCTGATGTATGAGTTCGGAAAACTGTCTTTAAGAACACAGACGGAGAGATTAGTATGATCATGGCCGTCAGAAGTGAAATGCGAAACAGTGGACTTGGAGAGATCTTTAATCTTCACAGCCCTAACATGTTCTCTGAAAAGGTCTCCGAGTCTCCATCCTGTTTCTCCAATGTAGATGGCTGGGCATTTACTGCAAGAGATACAGTACAGTAAATAAGGTTGCTGGAGGTACAAGATGCCATCTGGGTGATCCGGAATTGTCCTGAGGGGCCTTGAATGAGTCTGGTGTTAGATGTGTGCTTGCAGGTGATACAGCAAGCTCTGTTGCAGGGGGAAGTGCCTGGTGTGGATGGTTGCTGACGGTGGTCAAGGGAGCTGTGAATAAGAAGAGAGCCCCAATGGAGGGATCATCCTGTTGGATGGAAAAGTTGTCGTTAATAGTCCTGGGGATAGGAAGTGTGTTGGGGTGGTAGGGAAGCACCAAAGGAATGCGGTTGTTACGGCAGGAGTTCCTGATTGAGTAAATGGTCTGAGGGGTGTTTTTGGCTCGGGCAAGGGCCCTGTAAATAACACTGCTAGGGTATCCTCTGTTGATGAAAAAGGAGTACATTTTGAGGGCTTGGTTCTGGAAATCGATGTTGTCGCTGTATAATCGTCGTAGCCGAAGGAACTGTGAAAAAGGGAGAGAGTTTTTAGTGTGTTCTAGTGCAGCTACCCACCTGAACTACTTAATTTAAGAGGGACTTCTAAATATAAAGTGAGCAATCTGGACCAAAAAAGCAGTAGTCTTGTATAGCTGATGATAGTCAAGCCTTACTAATCACCATTGTCAGGACTGAGCAGAACTAAAGTCTGTGAATCATCAGTGTAACACAAGGAAGCAAACTGGATAAAGGAAATCTGAGTATCATGAATGGACCTGAATATCCCAGCATCAAAACCAATCAATAATTCATTCACTTGTGGATATCTACTAAAATCTGCCTCAGTTCTTGAATCAGGTGCAGTAATACTTCTAATAATTAAACCGGAAGTTGCAATCTTACTTGTATTTATTGAATTGTGCCCGCATTGTAATTCCATCTGTCCTGTCTGTATGTATAAGTTAATTTACAGTATATGAGCTCAGTGTATTAAATACATCTTTGAGGAAATTGTAAAAACAGATAAATTGCTAGCAGGCTTTTAGTGAATGAAACAATGTGAGGGTATTTTTGCATTAGATCAAACACAAACTATTGAGTTTTAGGGCTGCCAAAATTCCTAAGGATTTCTTTCTAAGTTTGCACATAGCGGTCTTATGAAAAAACACACCCGAAAATGAGGCACCCGACCAGACCATGAAAGTATTAAATTTAACCTTAAACCTTTATATTGAAATTTCATCTGTGGGATTAAATACATTATCTGATCATTTGATTTAAAAAAAAAATAAAGACCCATGCATAGAATTTGAATTCAAATGGGTTATCTACTGTAGTAATTTTGTTTCTCCTTTCAAATATGGTGTAAGAACATCTATTTTCATCTATTTAAGCAATAAATAGTCTCCTCTGTTACCCTTTTGTTCACAATTTGCCTCTATTTTTTTCACTCAGTTTGTGGTGACAATGTTCTGGACCCTGTACCTCTATGACAGAGATCTTGTTTATCCCAGACTTCTGGACAACTTCATCCCGCAGTGGCTTAATCACGGAATGGTAAGAATATAACGTTCCATTAAAGATGTCATTTTAACTTGAGTTAAAAAATTAACTTGAATTGGTCATAAAATGGAAGGATTGGTCATTGAGCCTATGAGTATGAATGTTATAACTCCTAACACATTTCAACACAAAGTGGATTTAATCTGTTTCTCTGTTCACAATTCATCATGGCATGTTGTAGACTGTCATTTCTATGTGATTCTTTAATAAAACCTTTCAATTTTCAATGAGATTTGCCTATTAAATCGGCATATTTTAAAATGACATCCTTCGATTTGTTCTAGAATTGAGGGGCCTGGTAATTACTGACTGGCCTGTTATTCCATGAACAGAGCTGCTGAAAATCCACACTGTTTCCTTTGTTTTAGCCTTTGCTGGAAATGCTTTAAAATGGCAAGCTGTTTCATATTGCATTTAACTATTACCAAAAAGTTGGCTGTTCAGCAACATACAATCTCTGTGGGAATGGTCTTAGTAAAGTGCAACATTGCTACTGTACACCACAAAGGTGCTAAAAGTAGTTTAAAAAGGTTTTTTTTTGGGACATTTTTGCTAAGGGGATTATTAGAAAACATTAATTTTGTGGAGGGTGCAGTTAGAGATTGGGGGTGGAGAATGTGCTTTAGTGGTGAGGATTCCCTGGCTGCTGTCAAGTGTTAAGCTTGGTTTGGGGTCCATTTGATGTTCACAGATGTTTTACAATCCAGTAATTCACAGTAGTGGAGTTAAGTGAACATGTAGATAAAAGTCTGCAATGGTGATTGTCTGCACTTTGCACATTTCTTTGACTTTTTCCAATTAAAGGTCAATTCTTGAAGGTGTTTTGGTGTTTTCTTATGCATACTGAGGTGTGAACTGTAAGGAAATAAAATAGGTTTGTAACCCTTGAGTTTTTGCCGAAGCATTTATGTATGTTATAGCTTTGTTGTTTTAATATAATGAATATGAAATCCTGTAAAGACTGACCTATTCTGAGATTTTTGGGATTCAATAAGGAATAGGAACTTCTCAATAATGTCAGCATTAACAGAAGGAATTAATTTTAAATATTGCATTTTGGCTGAGAAATAAAGAAAATTTAATGGACTAAATATTAATCTCCATACTGTTTCAGTGGATTTTCAGGGCTGATGTTGAAAACAGCAGTTTTTATTCCAGGTTTTAAATAAATAATTAAATATTAATAATAAAACCCTTAAACACAAATACTGTAATTAAACAGGCAAAATTACAATGTACTGGATCTCTTACACAAAAGGTTCAAGAAATACACCTACTTAATAGTAAATCCAAGTGATCAAATTTAAGATGAATTTATTTGCCACATACAATTTCTTGCATAAGGAATTCATCTTTTTGCATACCCCAGCTTGCTCTCCATGAGACACACAGACAAGGAGAGAAGCTTGGGGTCAGTGCACAGGTCAGCCATTGTACAGTGCCCCTGGAGCTGCTGGGGTTAAGGGCCTTGCTCAGTGGCCCAACAGAGTAGGATTCCTCTGCCAACCACAGGATTTGAACTGGTAACCTTCCAGCCACAGGCACAGATCCTAAGCCACAGAGCCACCGCTCCAATAATGCAGCGCTTTCAGGCTCAGGGGGGTATGCACCCTACCACCTGAGGAATTGAACCCAGGTCTCCAGCGTCACTCAACAGAGAAGCAGCCAGTCAAGCTACAGTGAGATCTGCAAAGAAGCTGGTCTGTTTAAGATAAAGTTTACATATAATACATTACATTTAAGACATTAAACATACGTAATGTAAGCTGTTGTAATGTACTGCTTTTCAAATATATGGCTTACCTTAATTTCACACTTTGCTGTGTTTCTTGAATGCCGTATGTAGCATTTTAAGAATGTGTTTTTTATAAATACCTAATGTCATCAGTCATTTCTATAATTATCTCACAGCATTTAGCCAACACTCTTTGAGAGCAAAAAAATAAGAATAAAAAATTAGTCAGTCTTCAGATTTTACAATTATCCTAGTACCCCACATTCTATCCAAAAAGGGCTATACTGTATGGGGTTTATTTTAAGATTTAGGAATATTTGGTGGTGTAAAATATTTTAAAGGACTGTCTTTTACTTCCAATTCTGATAAAAAAGTAATAACAAATAACATGCAGTAACTGGGATTGCCTGTAGGACTGAAATAGTTTTTTATAAAAATAAAAAGAAGTCATGACATATGTAAGACAAAATGTTCATTAGCACTAGGTGCAGTTTAATGAAACTAAACTTTGCTCAGAGAGAAGTGGCTCCTACTATTCCAAGTATGTTGCTATGGGCAATCCCCGCAAAAAAATGACAAACACCTCACAGCTGAAAATGATTCTTTCATATGTGAACCCTTCAAATTTGACTGCTACGCTTGTGACGAATAGAACAGGGTTACTAGATCGTAAATATTATGGTGCATTCCATGGTACCGCATTTGTTTGTTTACCCTTGCCACCATGGTAACTGTCTTGAGCTCCCTTGTGCTTCAGAGAAAACAATTACCAAGCCCTGTTACGGCTTGGCAAGCCTATGACTACAATTAAAGACACATGAGCAAGCTGTAAAGTACAGATTTTATCTATTCATCACACTGTTATCACAGGGGTAGGGATTCAAATACTTGCTGGCAGGATCAACGGAGCGAAAGCAATTATTTTTCTTTCCTTCCCACACATGAAAGGGAGGTACAAGTTACAGTGTGTTCAGGTAATTGCAGATGATGGCACTAGGCAGTGCATTGCATGGTATGACAGGGGCCCCCTAGCTCGGCTGTCATGTAGACAGTCGGGCACTGTTCTTCATCTGGGCTGCTGGTCCTTTGTTTTATTCTGCCACCTCTCTTATTTAATTACCAAAAAGGCACACGATGACTTTCAAAGACTTTGGGTGTACAGGGGCAACATTTTGAATCATTTTTTCAAGTCTCAAATTATCACCCGACTCATTTTTCATCTGTTCGCTTTGAAGGTGTTTTATCTAACACAGGGTTGCAGGGGAGAAGGAGCCTATCCTGACGAGCAACAGGCACAAGGCCGAATACGCACTGGATGGGACACCAGTCCATCACAGGACACTCGCAGACACAAACTCACACTAGGGCCAGTTTTCCCAGAATCCACTTCATCTACCATGGAGTGTGGGAGGAAACCGGAGCAACCGGAGGAAACCCAGAAGGACACGAGCAGAACTGTCAGATTCCACACAGACGGCACCTAAAGCCCAGAACTCAGCCCCAGGCCCCAATGCTGCGAGCCAGCAATTCTGAGCACTGCACCACCGTGCCACCCACACATCTTTTTAAATGTTTAAATGAAAATTAATATAATATTGAAGGTTCTGAACCTTAATTTTCTCCTTCCCAAGTGGAAACTACTTGGAAGTACATTTAAGTCTGAGGACAGGAGGCACAGAGATGTGTGGAATTATGTGACAAGCTACCCAGCCATGTCATGGAAGCCAAAACCCTGAATTCTTTCAAGAAAGGCTGAAAAGGGTCCATGGATCAATCAACAAGATGGGCTGAATGGCTTCCCCCCCCCCCGTTCCATCTGTAATAGTTCTTATGTGTCTCAGGAAAATGCCTTTTCCAGAAATCTTTGTCATTTGAATTGAGTCATTTGTGAATTTGGATTAGTGGAGAGGTAAAAATACTAGACTCACATATGTCTCATTCACTTGCTGGAGGGCTTACGGAGACCAGATTTACATTGATACGAATCCCTTTTCTGCATTGTACTGTAAGTACTCCACTGCAAGTGCGACTGCAATTAGGAGAATGCATTTTCACTGTAGAGGCCTGCTGTGTGGATCCTGGCTTCAAAACATCTCACTTTGAATACGTGGCCAGTCAATTTCCCCTGAAGCGTATTTTCTTATATCATCTCTGGAACTTTTACAGATGGCAAACACATAAAATGCAACGCTGCTGCTTAAACAATGCGTAAGGCACCTGCATGAGTGAAGAAGCCTGCCCTGTGCTTACGGCTGCTGCAGAATGTCCATTCAGCTTTGGCTTGCTTATATATTATTTAAAGAAAAGTGTCACGGGATATTTAAATTATACTGTGCTGAGAGAGGGAAGCTATTGTGCTGGTGAATTTTTCTGGCAAATAATCCTTGGTTTATACCCCCCACACCCATGTGCTCCTTTTGTGTCTCTGTGAACGGTAACGCTCAGGCACACTGTGATACACCACGGTGCCTTTTCACAAGAGCAGCTCTCTGATTCATTGCAGATGCCAATTAATTATTAATACAATGTGACTTCCAGGCACGGCACAGTATTACACGATTTCTGCGTTGCCTGTTTTCAATACAGAAGCTTCTGTAAACACATTTAAAAGAGTGTCCTGTGGACAGGGACTTACTATTTTTGTAAACTTCTGAAACTCTGAATATACAGCCCATCCACTTTATTTTCGTTCTTCAGTTTTATAGTGGCGATCAGGGCTGCGTCAACTGTGGGATCCAGAGTCTTCTGCTAAGGCATTGCTGTGGACTCTCATCCTGCTGCTGCTCTCTTTTCCTGTAAGGAGACTGACCTCACCCCCCGCCCACACATTAGCTTCTAAAAATGTCCTGTTGAGGGGAGAGTGAATATCTCATTTTGCTCTCCATCCAAAGCTTCAGCATTGTAGTACTGTAAAGTGCTGTCTTTTTCAGCTTGACAAACCTGTGTTCACAATTTGTGTCAAAATAGAATAGATTAAGAGAGACACAATAGAAAAGGTTCTCTGAGAAATGTGCCCTAAATAATGGAGCAGTTGTTTTACCAGGCATCATTGCCCTGGCCAATTTACTATAAAGCTATTGAGGGTTTACAGGGCCAATGTATTGTGACTTGCACTGGCCATTATTTTAAAACTTCATCTGACAAGTTTCATATTAGGCATGTAAGTTCCAAATCTGTGACAGAAAACCCCGTATTCTCAGAATAACCGGTCCATTGGAGCAGAGGATGAGTATAGAACAAAGACAAGCTAGATCTGTTG